TTGGAGTGACAGTATTCACTCAAATAATGAAGCATCATCATCGTCGTCCTCATCATCACATGTATATGATTTAGATAAATCAGTCAAAACACACATACAAATAGATGCTTCCATACCAACGAAAAAGGCGAAAACAGACTTTATGATTGAAAATATGATGAAAAGTCAATCATTGAATAATACAAAAAAACGTCAAATTCATAAAAAATATGGGGAAAATCCAAGAGAAATACTCGAGGAATACCCCAAATTTATGCTTCATCTAGAAACTGATGTTCAAAATAATTACACTTTACAGAGTACTGATATTCACCCTGAAAAAGATTCTGATAAGACGCATGATCATACATCTATTGATTCAAATGAGATTATAAATTTTAATGCGTCTAAGCATTTCATCAGAAATTCCAATACATTATCTACATGCGCTTCACTGGTACCTAATCAGTCATATATAGATGGAAATATGACAGGATGTTTTCTAAATACATGGCCTTCAATATTCTTATTTAACCAACTGATGTATGGTCCACAATATTGTACTCAATTACAAGGATCCTCAGACTCCGCAATGTACACTCCATTTTCATCTGACTGTATTCTGAATTCAAATAATTTACAAAGAGGAACAAGTATAACTAATCAAATTGATACAAAAGTGACTAATGTTAATTTAATTAGTGGTATCACTGAAAAATCCTCTTATGTAAGTCAAAAGGACTTATTTCAATCCTCACTAATCACGTCCATTTCAGCATCACAATAGTTAAATTCAATGACGATTAATTGGAAAAAAATATCTTCATACTAACTAATATTATGATGTACATATAATTTCATTTCAATCTTATAACATTACCGATTAAACTAATTGCTGTACTTTTTATTTTAACATATTTATTGCACTTAAAATATTAATCGACATAATTAAATATACCTAAACTTGATTATGTTTTTCACCGAATTTACTTTTCAAATTGTGTTTATCCATAACTACTCGTTTACATATGACTAAATAGATCAAATTACATCTCGTCGTCTGAGAGTCCCAGAATGTGTACACTCAATTATTCAGTCAGTATATTCACATCATTTTTCAAATCTTTTGATAATATTAAAGTAAACACCATTTAATTAATTACTTGATTTAACCATTGACTAAATATTTGATATCGAACCACTAAAGAAGAATATCCAGTGAATGAAATACAGAAGTTTAAATTATCAGAGAGCCATAGTGAAAGTTATTGTTGTCTGATTATTTAATAACTTGTTTGTTTGGTAGTTTGCTAATAAATAATTATCATTCATTAGAATGATTACACTAAATTATAACTTATGTGAATAAAATGCTAGCCAGGGCCATGAAACTATAAATGAAACTATGATCAGTAGAGTCCAGTCATATTAGGAACGAAGCAGACAGCATCTATCCTAATGGATGATGGTCGAGCAAAATCTCGAATCGATTAAAGTTATAAGTGTAAATTATGAGATGCCGACTTGATGTTTTGAATGTAAATAGCTTATATCAACCCCATAAGTTTCTGAGTTTGATCCCTTTATAAACACTGTCAAGGAGTCTCATACCATGAACAGCTTCCAACCGCTATCCGGTTTTCAATAATTGTCTAGCTAAAGTCAGATCATGATGTAAATTATAAATTAAAATGGTTTCGTTTCTGAACGATTATTCTTTCGCTTATACTGAATGTTTTTATCACAAATGAATAAATATTATTGTTTCGAAGTCCATAAATTTTATTACACTAAAAAAGTTGTGTTTCATTTAAAATCTAGTTAATAATATTTGTCAGATATTGGTGTCCTGCTGAAAATCATAGCTATTTTTCACTTAAGATTTAATTGTTTTCAATTATCCTTCATCTGTAGATCCATTAACTTTTAGGAGCCACCAAGTCTAGTATTGGATTCCTCAGTAATCCCAACCCTTGAATGCATATCAGATAAATATTGTATACTAAGGTCTTGTGACAATCGCTATATTTCGACTTTAGAAACCTCCACAACTTTTCTATTTAAAAAAATAGTGACAAAATAATAATTAGAAAATAATGTATCTATGAGAATCCAAAAATTGGAGTAGTTCAACGTTTTAAAATTTACTTTAACGAAGCGATCAGCATGAAATATTGAAAGTTATTCTACTATATAATATGAACATGAATTATAACGAATTTTTTTCCAGGTATAAAATAAGTAGACCTAAGAATGTGTTGAATTCCATGAAAGATTAAACATAATTTGGATAATGCATACAGAACTATGCATCTTATGATGAAACTACTTGCTTTTTATACTAGAAGTTAGCTTAAGTCAATATATACTGGACATTTCATTGATAAGTGCATATATCAGTTTGGATGTGCATAAAAATGATTTAAGTAGCAAGGTATTGTTATTCCACTTGAATTTACAATAGAAATGTTGGTGATTAATCTTGATTTTCATTGACACTTAGACGATGTGATTAACCCCATTTCTTGTTCTTTTACTGAGTAAAAGGGAAACAACTCACCTATTATCTCATTAGTTTTTTTCAGATAATGTAACATGATAAAATGATATCAAAAACTTCAGAACTGTCAATCTGGTTACTTATCGTAACTCCTTAAAATTTCTCTTGATCAAAACTGCACACTAATTTCGCATTTAAAATATTTTGTTGACTGTTGATGTGATATATGCAATCAAATGCAGTAAATTAATCTAATTCTGGAGACATTTTTGTTCTTCGTTTGTTTATTTCATAAAAATTAAATTGACTGTTTACTTGCTAAAATAGTTCTGATTATTTGAACGCCAAGTTCATTCCTAATGTTGGAAGATATTCAATAAAATTCGTGGGTCAAATGATGTGATAAGAGAATTATTAATATCACTATAGGGTTGTGGAGATTGTTGCGTTTAAATTGATATTATGAACGGATCAATGCGAGACATTAACACCGTTGGATTACGGCCCATTAGTACAGAGAGTAAGCGTTCGCGCGCGAGACCGAAGGCTCTGGTTTCAAGTCCCATGTGTGGGGTCATGGGTGCACACTGCTGAGTAGTCCTGTGCTGGGACGAAACGACCGTCCAGTGCTTCCAGGTTTTCAATGGTGGTTCGACGTTGGTCTATTCATGATAACAATTTAAATTATCAATAATTTGACGACAATTTACAACACAGAGTAATACGAACAATAACATTCTCAAAATTTCGGAGATATTATGAGACTGTTTCATTTCTTCGTTAGACTCTTCATCAATAGACCCTACCAACATAAATAAGTGTCGGTCATTGTTTAGTGAACGAAGGATAAGGTACTGTAGGTAAATTTATTCTCTCATTTTGCAGGGCACTATGACTTCATAAAATATGAAGACCATGTATTAAATACTTTATTGGGACATCTTCCTTTACGTACTTCATTGCTCTTCTAATTATGTTATTAATTCAATTGCTCTCTGTTTCCCTTCCTGTTCTCTTCTATTTGATCTTATGCTGGAAGGCACTTCACTTCTGATTGCTACTGTATACTACTTTAATCTGTCAGCCTAAGTAATATATACCACAATTTTGTCTTCAGGTATTAAGGAGAGTAGAATATCATGTAACCGGTAAATCGTAATACAGCGGTCCACGCATTTCAACCTCAAGTATTTCGTGAGACAGCGGAAGTCTTACTAAAAACGGATCAAAATAACTTCACTGTTTTTCATGTTTGATTGTCTTTTAGTAAATGATAATCAGTTACGGAATGAATTTTAAAGATTGAAGCACAGCTCATAGTTTTTATTATGAAATTTCTGTTATTTCAAAAATAAAAAAACCATTGCAGTTCAATGTTTTTTCTTATTATTTATGAGTTAATGGTGTCTGAAGTCACGGGTACTTAAAACATTGTATTATCAGACTAAACACATAAGTGAACATATCTATTCAAGCATGAATAAACATACTTGGTCTGGTTTTCTTTAAATAAAGGAAGAAATTTGTATCCCTAAGTCCTTATAATTAAGATATATTACTAATCACTTTTACTAAATATCTACTTGACACATGAAAAAAATTAAATCAAAAAGAAATTTCAAGTAGTTCGTCATTGAAAGCTCACTATTGTTTGAATGTACTTTTTGTTTCTACGGTTATTATCACTTGGAAAACATTATTAACAGTTTATTATACTCTTATTTCAACTTATTTATAATTTTAGGTCCACTAGTTAGATGGAGTATTTGAAATCTATGAACTTGGAGCAACAAATGGTCCATTGGAACTTCAGGTTTTACCAGGTGTAAATAGTACAGAGTGAAAACTTTTATTGTTTTCCTAGTATGAATTTCATCGGTTCGATTAATACAGAGTGGATAATTATCTTTTTCAGGAAAGATAATCATATATAAAATTGTCAACACATTTTTTGTTTTAAACTGTTGAAATTTTATTCAAAAGTCTACAAAACTACTAATGATGTTGAGGGTTTAACATCGATATATCAAGAGATGTTAGCCTAAGTCTTCGAATGTTTGCACTAATTAATAGAATATCAGTAGGTTAAAACATGTTTTTCACGCCAAAAGACCTGAGCAACTTTAAATCTCAACCCCGAACGTTCATATAAACTTATTTAAGAATTCAGTTACTTCACACAGGAATATATTAAGCCAAGTGTTACAGACAGCATTACCCAGAGTTCTTGAGTATGAATTCTAAACTGAATCCCTCAGTATTCAATGCCACATAGTTAGAACCAATTCTAAAGAAGTCATGTGAACAGATCCTAGCTTCGAAGATATTATTTATGACTTTGAGTTTTAAAGGGTGGTACCAGTTTTTCTGACTAAAAGCACCCAGTGCTGAAGCGAGCAAACAAGCAGAAGATTCAAGGTAACAGCCTTAAGACTCTCACTACCCCTCACACCGAATCGCTTGATAAGGAGATTTATGGCAGTAATAATGACATTAGTTATGTATCAGTGGTTGCTGCATGAAGATGATACTAGTTCTAACCACACAAAACTGTAAATAAGGTGCGCTTAAATTAATACTTAGTTCAAAAACGATACTTCAAGAAAATTCACGAATCAGTTATGAAATAACTAATTGTATTTAATAGTTTATTGTTCTTTGCAATTAAGAATAATATAAATGATGTAATTCAACCTCACTTAACTTCTCAGTATCTCCTGGCCAAAGATCGAGTTCCACAATAAACCTAAAAAGTAGGGACTAATCATAGTGAGAAATAGTATTCGACTACACATTTATTTGGTTCACAACGATTATTCCAACGGTGTCTTTAACCTAGCTTACTCAATAAATGAAATGAACCTTTTGAAAAGGAAATTTTACATGACTTTCTATTGTGTGTTATTGCCACTCTCTTAGAAAACCTATCAAACCACTTGACCTATACTTTTAGCCTAAGAAGCAAGATAATCTGTGAAATATTTAAAGTAAGAATTCAGAGAAGAAAATGTCCTTTGTTGCATCAATGTGCATATATAAATTTACTTTATATTGCGTAGTAGGTTATATTGGTCACACAAGGCAAACACTTTCTAAAAGTGTCTCAGAAACTTACCCAGCCTGGTTTTAGAAATGGGGATGCAAAACTATCACTAGATGATGAACCTTGGGCACATCGTTCAGAATCAGTTGTTCTTTAAAGTACTCTATAAAGAAAAAGAATTGGACCAAAAGGGAGGGTTGTATAAAAAAACTGTTCACTGCTAAGGCGTCGCATCCCACCACTT